TGTTTTTCAAAATTGCTAAAAGCATTTGATTTTAAAGTTCTTTTCACAAAAAGTAAATTGGTGAGGTGATAGATAATTTGCTTGATTGAACCTTTCTGCATCACACTGCACCCCATAAATATATGAAATTATCAATAACTAAAAGTAAAATTTTTAAATGTAGGTTTCCAAAATGTAGGCTGCAGTGTAAATAATGAAATAAACACTCACATCTGATCCTGGCCTTTTTTAACCTCTTTTAGTCTATTATTTAAAATGAAACATTTTAAATAAATTAGTGTTTCTCAAACTCTTAAACTGACTGCAGATGACTAGAGATGGTCTTAGTTGACATTTTAGATAATTTTAGATAGTACCATGAAAATACATTAAACATTTAATCACCTAGTGAGAAACTTACTTTTTCAACTTTTCTAAATATATGTCAAGTAAAAGATCCAACTGTACATCAAACACCTTTCTTTTTTTACTTTTGGCAGCACTGGGGCTTGAACTTGGGGCTTCCACACTTGTTAGGGAGGAACCCTACCACTTGAGCAATTCCCACAGCCCTTCTTTGCATTGTTTTTGCCAGGGATTATCCCTGGACTGCAATCTGCTTATTGTACACTTCTAGTTTTAACTGGGATGACAAGTGTACACTATATTTCCAACTTCTTCTGTTGAGATAAGATGGAATCTTGCAGACCTTTTTGACCTGGCTGACCTGAACCTCTGATCCTCCCAATCTCAGCTTCTCCTGTAGCTGGGATGATGGGTGGGAACACTGTGCCTAACGCCTAAGGATTGGTTGAGAGGGATCTCACATGTATGTATGGCCAGTCTGGCCTGGACCAGGAGTCTCCCAATCTCAACCTCTCAAGTAGCTGCGATTACAAGCATGAGCCAGTTGCACCTGATTCCAAATACCTTTAATAGCTCTCTCACATGGATTGTCCAAGGGTAGGAAGTAGGTAGTACTATTGTGAATCCTTTATTCCTAAAGAATTTCTTCAGAAATGAAATGAATTCCATTCCTTAAAAGACAAAAGTACAGAAATACTACAGAAATACTTTTTTTGCTGTTTGTATCGATCTTCGACTCATGTGAGCTTGGGAAGAGGACCCAAACATGCAAAGCACAGCTTAGAATTTCTAGTTTTGTTGTTCTGTTTTGTTTTGTGGGGGTTACTGGTACTGGGGCTTGAACTTGCTTGCTTGGCTGTTGCTCTACTGCCTGGACCATGCTTTCAGACTAGCTTTTGCTGGTTACTTTGGAGATGTGGTTTCAAGTAACTTTTCTGCCTGGGCTGACTTTGAACCTCAGATCCTCTGCATCTTAGTCTCCTAGAGCTAGGATTGTAGGTTAACTTCTTACTTGTCGTGGACATCTCTCCAGGCATGTTTCTTTTCTACTATACAACATAATAGGCTTTGGTTGGTTAAGGCTGCTTAGGAGAGGGTGGGAACTATTAGCAAGTTCATGATGTCATAAACCTAAACCACAAAATCAATCTTCATTCTTACTGGCTACATAGGTAGTATTTTCATTGCTACTCTATTCCTGTTTGTTTCTCAGTTTGTTTCAAATTCACAGAAGATGTTAGGGGGAATAAAGCAAACAAATCCTCACTTTTTTTGTTTTTGTATTTTTTTTTTTTTTTTTTGGCAGTCTTGGGGCTTAAACTCAAGCCTGGTGTTGTCCCTGAGCCTCTTTGTGCTCAAGGCTAGTTCTCTACCACTTGAGCCACAGCACCACTTCCGGCTTTTTCTAAGTAGTTTATTGGAGATAAGAGTCTCGACGGCACCCGTAGCTCACACCTGTAATCCTAGCTACTGGGAGACTGAGATCTAAGGATCACGGTTCAAAGCCAGCCTGAGCAGGAAAAGTCCGTGAGACTCTTATTTCCAATAAACCACTAGAAAACCGGAAGTGGCAGAGTGCTTGCCTTGAGGTGAAGAGCTGAGGGACAGCGCCCAAGCCCAGAGTTCAAGCCCCCATGACTGACAGAAAAAAAAAAAAAGAGTCTCACAGACTTTTTTCCTGTCCAGGCTGGCTTTGAACCTCGGTCCTCAGATCTCAGCCTCCTGAGTAGCTAGGATTACAGGCATGAACTACTGGCACCCAGCCAATAGTTTGTCTTGGACTCAGAGCCATCCATAAGCAACAGTAACTACCTACTATTTAACATACATGCTCGCTTGCTCCCCCCCTTCTGTCTCTCTGTCTCTCTGTCTCTCTCTCTCTCTCTGTGGTTTAATTGTATGGGTATAATTTCACTGGATTTGTATTTATGGTTAACATAAAGCAAATCCATTTAAGTTTTAGAAATTAAATCAGTTTTTAGTTTTTATAGAGTTGCATTTGACAAATCAATACTGTATTTGAGCTACACCCCAGCCATTTTGCTCTAGTTATTTTTTGAATAGTCTTATTTTTGTCTGAACCACATGGGCCTTATTTCTCCTGTTTATGCCTCCTAGGATGACATGCATACCACCGTATCCATCTCACTGGTCTATTGTTTGGTCTATTTTGAAACCATAATCCTCCCAATATCTACTTGACAAGTGTCTAGGATTAGATACTGCTTTACCACTTGAGCCATGTCCCCAATCCAGTAAATTAATATTGGGACACAAATGACTAAAATTTAAATATTGAATAAGACTGTGACCACTTACAAAGTAAGTGCATATTACAGTAGAATAGGTTATATAGTAAAAAGAGTAAAAGAGAGGACCTTCTAAACATAGCATGTGCTGGGCTATTTTCCTTCATTTTAACACATATAGTATTTTAACACTAAGAATGTAGATCAGTGATAGAGCTTGCATAATATACACAAGGCCCTGAAGAAAAGAAAAGAAAAGAAGGGATGGGAGGAAGAGAGAGCGAGAGTAGAAATGAAAGAAAAAGAATATATTATTATTGGGGATACAACTTTTATTTTCTACCAGTATGTTCATTTGTAAATATAAATATCTTTGCCTTAATATTTTACTAGTCAGTTGAGTATTAATATATTTTGATAGTATATTTGTTGGTGATAGTTAATTATTTTATTATATTTTTCATTATAGACAGTCTAGCATGAGTAAAGTTTGGAGGAAATCTTTAATAATAGGGTTTTGTTTTTTTTTTTTTACTTATTTGTTTTTGTGTTTTAGACAGGGTCTTGGTAGGTATAGTTTAGCTTGGCCTCAAACTCAGACTCAGCCTGTCTCAAGTATAAATAGTTTTTACTTGGATAGCAAGAAGCATGTCATCACTGTGTATTCAGAGTAACACCATGGTAGATATATAGTAGTATTCAGCGAATATTTGGGCATGTTAAGAGAAGATTGAACAAAGAGCAAAAATAGAAGCTAAATTCTCTATCTTGAAGGTGTTGGTATAGTTTTGCTTTCTTCATAAAAGCTGTCGATAAGGCTAGCCACAAGGAAGTTGAGGCTTTGAGGCAGTCATGGTAAGACCTTCATGTAAGTGGAATCTGGAGCTACTTAAACTTCTTTCAGTTAGGAAGAAGTCACAAAGAAAAGGCAACCCTATTAATACTGCTTTCACTTTTGGAAAGCAGAATTCACTGTAATGGATGAGGCTAGGGGCCTTTCTTTATTCCGTTTTTTAAACTTTTCTTTATAAGAAGTGTCTTTTTCTTGTTTCATGTATGCTTTCTTTCAGTTATATCCTACTTCTGTGATTATCCCCACATAGGGAAAATACCCTAGTTTTCTTTGCCTTAGGGAAGATTATTATGATTTTGCAGCTTACTCTTTCCCCTCATGCTCTTAATTATAGTTTCTGATCTGATAAAGGCATCCAGTTCTTTCTCAACAAGCACCCTACATAGATGAGCTATAATACTAATGGTAAAAATTTGATAGTATCATTTATTCATGCAATGAATGTCATATTTCAAAGATTTTGACCTAAGAATCTTGAAATTAGTTTTATATAAAATATGAAGAGAATATTACTCTAAGGTTTTTAATTCTTTATTATACTAAGCTTACTTGTTTTTGTTTTTGTGTTTTTGAGGTAAAGTCTCACTATTCAGCCCAGACTCATGTGAAACTCACTTCAAGTACTTATTCTCAGATCTCAGCCTCCTGAGTAGCTAGGATTATAGACTTGAGCCACCATTGTGTTTCTAATTTGTTATGAACAATGATGTCTTAACTGGAGTCATTTTCTATGTTTAGGCTAATGTTTTCTGTTATTAATTTTTAACTTGGTACAATTTATGCTAGTGAAAACTCTCTGCCTTTATCTTTTTTTTTTTAGGCTATTACTGTGTAATCGTTAATATGTAAAGTCAACTCAAGGTGGCTATTGTATTGAGGCTTTTTCTTTACATTATATTGATAGAACAGCTGTAATTATGTATAGAGGATGAATTTTGCAAGTAATTGTTATTTAAAAAATTATCATCCAATCTCTGAACTTTAATATCAAGCAGTACAGTTTTTATTATTACCATAATTCAAAATAAAATAGCTCTATTTGCCCAAGAAAAAATACTTCAGAAAAGCTTACTTTTTCCCCTTAAAAGATTTAGGTTCTTGGTTTATAATTGTAATATTTAGATAGTTCCATCATTGTGCTGTCACGAAAGTAATGCAAAATCCATTTGGCATAATGGCAAGAAGAAAGTTTTGTGGACACTTTCTTGTCTAATTCCAAAACAAAATAATGAACAACTTTGTGTCTAGCTGTTTGTGTCTACTGGCTTTTCTCTGATTAAGTACTTTGAGGAGTGTAAAGTGATAATATAACAGCATGACATTAATTTTCTTATATGCCATGAACTTAAGAGGTAGACCAACTGCATATGAAATTCAGCTCTGATACTTTTGTTCTGGTAACTTACCTGCCCCTGTAAAGCGAAAACTATCCCTCTTCTTCAGTGTTCCTAAGAGGAAGAATGCCCCTAGACTGAGTTGTTGTAGTTTTGTTGTAGTATGGAAGCTATATAAGGAATATAGTGTAGTGATGATATGTTTTGATATTCTGTCAGGTGAAGTAAAGGACAAAAATGTTCAAGTGGTCGAACTCCCCATTGTAGACAGTCTTCATCCTCGTCCTCCCTATTTACCCTTGGCTGTGCCAGAAGACCTCGCAGACCGACTCGTAAGAGTCCATGGTGATCCTGCAGTGTGGTGGGTGTCTCAGTTTGTCAAATACTTGATTCGCCCACAACCTTGGCTGGAAAAGGAAATAGAAGAGGCCACCAAGAAGCTTGGCTTCAAACATCCAGTTATTGGGTAAGAATCTGATTTATTTTTCACAAACAATGATAGAAAGTAGCAGGGTTGTGTATGTTTGCCTTGTATTCTGAACTTTACAATAGAGTATAATTTTCATAATCTCACCAAAGAATAGAGGTTCCAGAATTGACCTTAGAACACAAGACTATTCTTCCTTTGATCATTTAGAACAGCACAGAAATTGCTCAGTAGTGCTCATTTTTCTTCAACTTTTCCTCCATATTACAGATCTCCTTTAGTTTTTGTTTTCACATTTCTGGCTCCACACCTTCCTTTGTGTCTTAGTCTTTATATGTAGAGAAATTACTGCTCCCTATTCTAAATGTTGGAGCTAAAGAAAGTACATGGTGAAATCAGAATATTAAATAGTGTTTCTCAGGAAACTTTTCATTGAAATTCAGTGTAATCACTCTTTCTGCCCCACTTCATCTTTATGGAGCACACTGAACAACTGCAATTTCCATAGAGAAGCAGTGGTTAAGAGTGTGGGAAGAAGAAGATAACAGAATAGGTGTTCTGTGATCGTGTTCACATTTGGACTGTAGTCTGGAATACAAAGGAAAGAATAGTCAGGACGTTGGCTATAACCCCAGTGAAATCAGAGCCCCACTTGAAATGTACAATGTAAACAAAGTGGTCTGCAGCTTGGCCAGGACCCACAAGAATACAAAGTTATTATTCTACTTTTTCTACACAAGTAGTGGTTTTGTAATTGGAGGTGGAAGACAGTCTATTTGTGAAAACAAACTTGGACTTTGATTATTTCTAAAGAAATTTTTATTCCATTTATATTCCAGTACCAAAAGGGAAAGGAAAGGCAGTAGAACGCAATGCCATATGCAGTGCAGGACAACGCAAATCTGTGTCCCTAATTTTATAATCTTAGGGTTTTTCCTTAATAGAGTAGGTAAGATCTACATCATCTATAGAGTGAAACGGAGAAAGGAAATTCATTATAAACACATCAAAAGTACTTGAACTTTACTCCATGAACATAAAATAATAAAATTCTTTTAAAGATTTGCCTGCCTTAACTTTGCTAACGGAAAAACCCATGCAGGCTATATTTTCCTGGGATAACCTTAAATTCTACAAGGTGGCAATTATAATAACTCTACAGGGTAAAATAATGAAAAACCCTTTGGCATCAAAATGTATACACAGTATCTTTAATGTTTTATAATACAACTGTGAATCTTGGTATCATTTTTGTCTCATAAACCTTATAAACTATTTCTATTTCTTTGTGAATAACTGGTGGGCATTTTGCTACCTAGTCCCCTTTTATTCCTGATATGCCAATTACTTTCTCTATAAGAAAACATTCTTCAAAAGCTTTATTTTCTAATTCATCTTGTGCTAACAAATATTTTGTGAGGATCCTTTTAATATATTTTTCTAATGATAAAAATGAATAAAAATTTATTTAAGATACCCATAATGTCCCCTTGTCTGGGGATATGATTTAAATACACCCAAAATACAAATGGATATGTACATGATCAGAAAAATCTCAATTTCTCCTCCAGAGTCCATGTCAGACGCACAGACAAAGTGGGAACAGAAGCAGCCTTCCATCCCATTGAGGAGTACATGGTACATGTTGAAGAACATTTTCAGCTTCTTGCACGCAGAATGCAGGTGGATAAGAAAAGAGTGTATTTGGCCACTGATGACCCTTCTTTATTAAAGGAAGCAAAAACAAAGTAAGTTAGACAAGTTGATAGTTCAAAAGTAGGATTGTCTCTCTTAGTTGAAAATTACCCTTTATTCACATAACGTGATTCTTGTCAAAATGTTATCGCTAATTACTGAGGTTTTAAAGATCAAATGACCACATCTTGTGTGACTATCATAATCTAACCAAATTATATCTGATACCTTATAGTAACATCTCACTTTTCATACTGAAATACAGGTAGATGTCCCACTTGAGCCATGTCCCCAGCTTTCCTCCTCCCTCCCCTTTTAGTTTTTTTTTTTTTTTTTTGCTGGAAGCCAGTTCCATACCAAAAATTTGTCCTAACTACAGCCTCTTGAATTATATCTCTTCTTTTGAGAGGTATCTGTTAAGTTTCTTTGCTATATTTGAGTCCAGTTATTTGTTTTCTTGCTTTTGAATATTTGAGTTCCTTTACATATTTTGGAGACTAGTTTCTTATCTGATGTATGGTTTGCAAACTTGTTTTTAATCTTTAGGGTGCCTCATCACCCTCTTTTTTTCTTTTCCTGTACTAGATCTTAGAGGAATAGTTCTCAACTTTTCACTGTTGAGTTTGATATTATCTATGGGCTCATCAAGTATTGCCTTTATTGTGTTGATATACTTCTCCAAAATACAACTTACTTTTGAGTATTTATCATAGATGGATACCAGATTTTATCTAATGCTTTCTCCTGTCAGTTGAGATAATAATGTGTTTTTTTTTGTTCTTCATTCTCATAATACATACCACATTTGTTGAATTAGATATGTTGAGCTATTTTGAATTGCTAAATTAAATCCTATTTGATCATTGTGGAGGATCTGTTTAATCTAATGTTGAATTTGGTTTGCTGGTATTTTGTGGAGGATTTTTACATCTGTTCATCAGCAGTGTAGTTTTGAATTTTTCTTTTCTTGTAATGTTCTTGTCTGACTTTGGTTAGTTATTAAGGTAAGACTAGCCTAGTGTTTGGGAGTATTCTTGGCATGGTTGCACATACCTGTGATCCCAGCAGTAAGCAGGTCACAACAGAAGGATCATGAGTTAGCGGCCAGCCAAAATGATGTACCAACATTCAGTCTTAACAAAAAAAGAAAGTTCGAGGGCCACCAGTGACTCAGGCCTATAATCCTAGTTACCTAGGAGGCTGAGATCTGAGGATCATGGTTTGAAGCCAGCGCTGCACAGGAAAGTCCATGAGACTTATCTCCAGTTAACCACTAGAAAAACTGGCTTAAAAAGGTAGAGTGCTAGCCTTGAGTAAAAAAGCTCAGGGACAGTGCCTAGGCCCCTGAGTTCAAGCTCCACAATTAGGGGGCGGGGGGTTTGGAGTATTCCTTCCTCTTCAGTTTTTGGGAAGGGTTTAAAAGCAGTATTAATGTTTTATTACAAATTCACTACTCATTACTGTTCTGTTTGTTCTGATTTTTTGCTTGTTCCTGATTCAGTCATGGTAGAGTTTCTAAGAATTCATGCATTCCTTCTAGAGTATCCAATTTGTTGATGTATATTTGCTTGTACTAGTCCCTTGTGATCCTTTGTAATTCTTTTATATCAGTTGTAATCTTTCTTTTCATTGCTGATTTAATTTGTATCTTCCTTTTTTCTTCTTTAATCTAGCTAAAGGCTTACTGATTTTCTCTTTCAAAAAGTCATCTTCTGTGATTTTTTAAATTGTTTTTGTGATCTCTGTTTTGTTTATTTCTCCTGATTTTTTTTATTTCTTTCTTTATTTGAGCTTAATTAGTTTTTTTCTTTTTCTGGTTCCTTGAGATGAAACATGATATTATTTATTTTTATGTTGTGTTCATTACTATCCATATCCCTTTCAAGACCACTTTTGCTGTGTAAGTGTTAGTATGTTGTGTTCCTTTCTTACTTGTTTCAAGATGTATTTTGGTTTGTTCTTTGACCCATTGGATGTTCAGGACCATGTTGTTAAATTTGCATTTATTTCCTTTACAGGCAGAAAAAAAATACTTAATATCAAACTTTTTAAATTTATTGATTTGTTTTGTGGCGTAACATATGATCTGGAAAATGTCCTGTGTGCATTTAAGAAAAATGTGTATTCTGTTGCTTTTGGATACAGTAACTGTTCGGTTAGTCTTAGCCATACGTAAAATTGTTTCCTTACTGATTTTATATCTAGAATTTTCCAGTATTTAAAAAAGTTGTGGTATTGAAGTTCCTTGATTTTTTTTTTTCAGCTATCTCTTCCTTTGGATCTATTTTCTTTGTGTATTTAGGTGTCTGATGTTGGTGCTCATTTATAACTACTTGAGAACTGACCTCTTTGACATTATATTTTGGCCTTCTTCTTTTACAGTTTTTCATTTAAAGTCTATTTTTTCTGATGTAAGTGTAGATACTGATTTTCTTTCAGATTCTATTTGCATAAAATATTGTTTCCCATCTGCTTTCAGTATTTTTTAGAGAGGTACAATATGAAAGTATTTTTAGTGACTATATTCACTGTATAGATCTACCATTGCTCACCATTGAACACCATGTGTTCTCCTAATATTGGACAGTAAGACTGTTTCGTATGTCTTGTTGTTGTTGTTGTTTTTCTGTTGTGGGGATTGAACTCAGGGACTGGGCACCGTCCCTGAGCTCTTTTTGCTCAAGGCTAGCGCCCTACCACTTGAAGCCATACCTCTACTTCAGTTTGGGGGGGGGGGGGGGGCGATTAGGGATTTGTTTTTTCTAGTCCTGTGGTTTGAACTCAGGGCCTGAGCTCTGTCCCTAAGCCTCTTTGTGCTCAAGGCTAGTGCTCTACCACTTGAGCCACAGTGCCACTTCTGGCTTTTTCTGAGTCTCACAGATTTCCTGTCCAGGCTGGATTTGAACCACAATCCTCAGATCTCAGCCTCCTGAGTAGCTAGGATTACAGGCGTGAACCACCAGTGCCCAGTTCAGATTTTCAGTTGTTATTTTAGGATGATGTACAGAGGGGTTGCAATTTCATGTCAAGTAATAAGTACATTACTTTTTGGACAATGTCTTCCTTTCCTTCATTCTCTCCCAGTTTTTATGTGTACTCATAAATAATGATACAGAGTTTACATAAAATATTTGCATTATTTTCTAGGCTGAACTATTTACATTAAAGGATAATGACATTTTGTAGCACCGATCCAGTAGCACAGCATGACATTTGTATATAAGCAGCTCTTGTAGTAAAGTTAGCAGTATCTACTTGGACTATGGGAACAATAAAACTTGAATTTCCTATTTGTAGTCACCAGCTTCAACTCCTGTCCTGGTGACAGTCTAGACAGCAATTTTCTCTATAGTCTTTTATAAATTACAGTGGGTGACATTTCATGCAGATTTTTTTTCCTTTTTGGAAATACTCTCATTTTAATTTTCTATCATTTCTAAGATATTCTCAGAAATTTAAGTGCTGTTTCTCTCTATTATTTTCTGGAGATTTTTCCCATTATTTTTAAAATGTTTTATTACTATAACTTAACTCTGCTTTATAGCTCTCACAATTAGTTTGATAGCGAAACATATAATTTAAAATTCTGTTGCTATTTTAGGAAACCATGGTAATCACTATAGGAGTCTCACAGACTTTCATGCTGCTTGGGCTAGATTTGAACCACAGCCCTCAGATCTCAGCCTTCTGAGTAGCTAGGATTACAGGCGTGAGCCACCAGTGCCTAACATCCAAGATTGTTTTCTAAGATAGTGAAAATTAAGGTGAAATAAAATGATAAACAAGCCTTTGAAATCTTCCAGTTTGGTTTGGTACTACTGAATTGCTGAGCAGAACTTTCAACTGACTCTGAGCTGAGATTTCAGCTGACTCTTGGGGTTAGGCAGACAAAGCAGTAAATAAATCTTAATCTATAGATTTCAGTGTATGCCATAAAAACCAAGAAGTATAGTACACATGCACACACACATATATACACATACACTTTCAGGCACAACATAATAAAATGACTTAAAAAAAGAAAAAGCTAAGAGAAAAAATGAAAATGACCACAGCATAAAAGAAGATATTACTTTCAAATGGGAGCCAAGCAGACTTACAGCTAACCTCATAGAAACTGTGAAAGCCATAAAATGATAAGTAGCTTTCAAACATGAGACAAAAAAAGGCCCATGTCATATTTAGGCAAAGAAATTCTATCAATAGAATTATGAGAAAGTGTTCTTCAGGAAAAATAAAAAATAGTTTCACTTGGAATAGATGGATGCAAATAGAAATAAAGGACAAAAGAAAGATAAATGATATTTTGAAGTAAAAACACTAGTGATATATATGATCCAATGTAATAATTATAGTAATTAAACAATTATAGGCCAGAGATATCGATTTTTTTTTTGTTTTCTAGTCCATATTTTTTGTTGTTGTTTTTGTAAATTTTATTTTGTAAAGATTCTGTACAGAGAGGTTAAGGTTACATCAGTAAGGTAATGGGTAGTACATTTCTTGTCTAGCATTGTTACACCCCCTCCTTTGTTTTTCTCCTATTATCCCTTCCTTCCCCCACTTCCTCCACTCCTCCCCTTCCTAAAGTTGTAAAGTTCATTTCCAACATGGTGTCTTGTGAGTATCATTGTTGCAATAGGTCATCCTGTGTCCTTGCTTCAGCATTTTGTTATTCCCTTTCCTCTCTCCAAAGAGATTTTGATTTCATAGAGGATTATAACACATGACATTTAAGTGGAATGGAGAGAAGAAATGATATTTCCATATCTGGGAATCTGTTAATAATAGATATTGGTAAGATGAGGATATCTTTTGCTATGGGACAGCCACAATAATAGTTAGAAAACACTATAAAAATACCATTCTGATTGGGAAGGAGGATAAACAAAATGATGAAATTTGTTTATGAGATAGACTTTAAATAGAATTTTTTCCACATAGTTGAAAATAAGGTTGGATGAATGGTAGAGAAAGATTTGTTAAGTAGCACAGGCTGAACACCTGACAGTAATGAAAAAAGTAAATTATTTCATTAAGAGGAAGAACTTTTGTTCATTAAGGAAAAGCATCATGAGATAAAAGGCCACACTCAGTACTATAAGCTGTTTGCAAACTTTATCATTGATAAAAACTCCCCTTTGGAATATTTCACAATATTTTGAAAATAAAGATAAATGAAAAAAATTCTCCCAGGTTGGGTTAGGAATGGTAGCCTATAATCATAGCTACTTGTGATGCAACTCTCAGGAAGATCATAATTCAAGGCTGGCAAAAAGCTAGCAAAACCTCATCTTGGCCAGTAGGGCATGGTGACAGACTTGTAATCCAAGCTATGTGGCAATCATAGGGAGGAATCTAATGCCAGTGCCCAGTGAAACCCTACCTGAAAAAAATAAGCAAAAAAGAGGCAGAGCTGTGACTCAAGTGGTAGAGCGCTCGCCTTGAGCTGAAGAGCTGAGGGACAGTGCCCAGGTCCAGAGTTCGGGCCCCACAACCGAAAAAAAAAAGAAAGAAAGAAAGAAAAGAAAAGAAACTAATAAAAGAATTACATGTTTTTTTCTTTATAAAAAATGTGAAACGAATTCTTCCTTGTGTATATTAAAATGAGAAGAGGCAAGAAAAAATCATTTAAAAGTTTTTGTAAAGTGTTTGGTTGCCCTGTAAAATGAAGACTAAGGAATAAGTGGTGTAGTTACTATTTCTGTTCCTGTAACATGGGAGGCAAATATCGAGCACTAGCAATACAAAGGCAAATAAAAGATGATATGTGGCTTTCTTGCCCCACAGAATAGCCAGGTGGTAGAGAGCATGTACATACAGCCAGTAATTATAGCATAAATAAATGTCCTTACTAGGTACCTATAATCGTAGCTACTCAGGAAACTGAGATGATCTGAGGATCACTGTTTGAATCCAACCCAGGCAGGAAAGTCCATGAGACTCTTATTTCCATTTAACCACCAAAATACCACAAGTGAAACTATGGCTCAAAAAACTTGCTCAAGGATAGCGCCAAAGCTCTGCGTTCAAATCCCAGGACATTTTAAAAAACATTTTAAAAAATCTTGATGTAGTTTATACTGCAGTCTAGTTCTTAGTCTAGTTCTAGATGATTAAAAACAGGTTTTTATAAAGAAGAAAAAGAAAAACATTTCATTACCATCGCTGCAACTTCAAGGTAGAAGAATTCCACTGCTGATGTATTTAGGGGCAAAACATAAAAAGTATTTATGCAAAATCTTCCCCATTACTCACTTCCCTGAACCCCCCCCCCCCCCCCCCCCCGCTTTCAGTATTCTTCAGGGAGTCATCTTTCAAATATACCGAAAGGTCTAAGAAACTATGGTATCTTTTTGTTTTGGTTCTAGAGAGGAGTGACCCTTTTTGCAAAAAAGAGCTGAGGTGTAGCCTCAAGTTGTAGAGCGTCTGCTACTAATATTAACATCACTTCTCAATAATCAGATCTTTCCTTTGTTTCACTGAGTACCCACACTATGCTGGCAAAATTAGTCTTGATCCAAGGATAAAATCTGAACTGCTTTTGTCAGTTCCCCTCTCTTTCACCCTCAAGCATTTTCAGATGTATCTGTTACTGTTTCTGCCCCATACCTTGGTATGTAGCTTCATAGGAATCATACTAAACATATTTCAGGGTTTTTTTCTTTTAGAACAAAAGTAGAATTTTCTTCATCTCCCTAATTCTAAGCCAAGAAGGACAAAATATCAAATAATAAGGTCAAATAGATCTGAACACTGAATGCTAGTCTGAAATAGTGTTCAGAAACTTTGCATTTACAGTCATTGTTACAGAGGCAATGAAGAAAAGCTCTATGGTAGCTGCAAAATGACAAGAAATTTGAAGCAGCTGTTAGGGGATTAGGATAAAATCCCAGACAAATGTAACACTCACTTGTATTTATAGGCACACCATTGTTCAGACTTCTTGTTACTGACATGTGAAGAAAAATAAGATGTGACCCTAACTTTTGGGAAATACTGTTTAAAAGACTGACACGTAAAGTGACTCCTAATGTTTCAAGGATTCTAAATAAGAACTATTATTCTTTCAGGAAATACACATTTATCCTCTATTATACTCCTAATTCTCTAGGTGCTGACAATAATACAGTGAACAGAGCAGATGAAATGTCTCCCCTTATAGATCCAGTTAGGGCTAATTGAAGTGGGAAATGGATGTAGGCAATAAACAAACAATGACTGTGTCAACTGACAAACTGTGGAGAAAAATTAAGCAGGAAAAAGAGATAGGAATTGCCAAACTCCTCACTGCTGAGGTGATACTGAATAGACATTTAAGAAGTAGGAAATAAAATTAGGTGGATATTTTGGTGAATGCTGTTTTAATAATCAATGCTAATATTTACAACATGTCAGGCACTCTTCTCAGCACTTAGATATTTAGAGTATTAATTCTTACTAATTCTACAAAGTGATTTCAGTTATCCCCTTTTCATATAACTGCCCAAGGCTTGCAGCATAACGTGTGCATTGAGACCATGGATTGCTTGATATGCAGAACAGTGAAACATCTAAGTCATTTGAACATGTGGCAGACTTTTAATATTTTGAAACATATCCCGCCTCAAGTAAACTATCACATATTATTATTGGGTGGATATCTACATGGAATTTGTCTTTCTAAATTCATTGGGTTACCTTTTCCATCATCATTGTTTAAGAGAGTTAGAGGAGACTGTTATGTCTGACACATTTTTAAAGCATTTATTTATTTATATTATTAACTTGTAATATCAGTGACTAAGAAATTTATAAAGTTTATCCAAATCTTATTTATCACAAATTATAAATGAAAAAAATAATGAAATTTTATCGTATGTATACTCTACAGTTCAGTGATCAAATACTCATTACGAAGAGAATAAGGAACCTTCGGCTTTCAACTCTGTCATGCATTGATAAAAGGACATTTTGATGTGTGTATGTATTTTTTGTATAATATACCAGCAATACATTTTTTTAGACAGTGTCTCAAGCTAGCCTCAAATTGACCATTCTCTTGCTAAACTAAGATTATATATGTGCACCACTATACCTGGCTCCAATAATATTTAGTATGTACCACATTTTAAAATGCTTTCCACTCCACTGATGAATTCAAAGATACCTCAATGCTGTCTCTATTAAATAAATGCTCTCCTTGCTGTTACAAAGAAGAGAGCTCTTGATCAAAAGATGGTCTCTCTCCTAATAAGAAACTGTAATCTCAGTGATGATATACAAATTTATTTCTTCCTCCAGGTACCCCAATTATGAATTTATCAGTGATAATTCTATATCTTGGTCAGCTGGACTACACAATCGATACACAGAAAATTCACTTCGGGGTGTGATCTTGGATATACATTTTCTCTCTCAGGCAGACTTCTTAGTGTGCACTTTTTCATCACAGGTAAGTAACAGTAGGACATGTTTAAATTACAGTTGTTTGGGGACACTTCAGGGTCAAAAACATGATTGTTCTATGTTTGTGTGTTTTTTAATGTTAGCATGACTCAGGTACAGTTTTCTTTATTTTTAGTAATAACATCTTTTGTGAAAGAATTAAGATTCCATAGAGTCAGTATTTGAGTACATTGCATATTTAGTTGTTTACAAGCAATGGTTGAATTCATCTCCACTAAAGCCAGTTAGTAGAGTCACTTAAAGTACTCAGCTTGTTAACAGCTTGTAACCAGAATCTGTCCATTTCAACACATCATTGCACTGATACTGAGAGACTTCAGAGCCCAGCATTTTGCCTCATTTAATTGCTTTATAGAAGAGAAGAAAGAGTGAATGAAATTCCTTTTCAAGTTTATTACATTTCTACTAAGCAAGAAGTTATATATTAAGTTTAAGCCATACAATATCACATTCATTCTTTGAGTTTAATTGTTGCATATAATTATAGGTTATAGGTTTGGTTGTATATTTTTATAAGGTTTCCCATCAGCCTATGCCCTGTGGAATATCAATATAACAATATTTATTTTGAATTTTATTCTTTCTCACTTATGCACATATTATTAGTTAGTTGATTTAACCAGCTGTTAAATGACTGTTTGTACTCAAGTTTATACAAGGCACTGAGAGAACTTGAAAGGAGATAACAGTCCTCGCCCTCATTCAGACTCAAAATGCTCACATGAAACAACTGAAGAAGAATTTCCCCAAAGTATAAATTAGTGTAAAATAAAAGTGTGCTTAAGGGGCTGGGAAGGTGGCTCAGTGGTAGAGTGCTTGCCTTGCATGCATGAGGCCCTGGGTTCGATTCCTTAGCACCACATAAGCAAAAAGAAAAAAGCCGGAAGTGGCGCTGTGGCTCAAGTGGTAGAGCACTAGCCTTGAGCTGAAGAGCTGAGGGACAGTACCCAGGCCCAGAGTTCAGGCCCCACGACCGGACCCAAAAAAAAAGTGTGCTTAAATATTGAGATAGTGCACAGAAAAGAAAACATGAAAGAGAATAGCCACATCATTTCCATTGGAATAGATTTCATAGAAAATAAAGAAATGCAGAGGTTTTTGAATCAGGATCTTTTATATAGCCCAAGCTGGCTTCAAATTTATGATCTTCCTGCCTCCACTTTCTGAGTGCTGGGATCATAGGACTGAACCACTATGCCTGGTATAAGGTAGGAATTTTAGAAAGACACTTAGCCAGGCAAAGGCTACAATCCCCTTTAATATGGAATAAGAATACTATGTACTACCCAAGTATTATTAGACTATTTGAATTATCCCCTACAGATATCATACTTCAGTCAATATCTTTGGATACACCTGCCTACAACCTCATATGTATTTATTTACTTGTTCAACTATAAATTAGTTCTAACTTCCACACATGAGAGAAGTGCTAGAATTGCTAAAGTCATCAACTAGATAGGTGATAATGGACGTGATCATACTTGGCAAACTAACACTCAAGATATGAACATGTAGTATTTTTACTGTTAACCTTTTGTTTGTGAAATTTGGCATAAGACATTTCAAGGTATTCAAGTCTATTTTTGGACATAGTTTTGCTTTTGTTCTAGTGAGAATAAATTATTTTGGCTGAACTTTGACTAACAAGACTCTTTAGAAATAATAAAGTATGTAAGCATGAATCTCATTTGTTTGAGGGGGTGGTCCGGTCGTGGGGCCCGAACTCTGGGCCTGGGTGCTGTCCCTCAGCTCTTCAGCTCAAGGCTAGCACTCTACCACTTGAGCCATGGCACCACTTCCAGCTTTTTTTTCTGCTTATGTGGTGCTGAGGAATGGAACCCAGGGCCTCATGCATGCAAGGCAAGCACTCTACCACTGAGCCACCTTCCCAACCCATGAATCTCATTTATTTGGATACAAAGAGTTCTCTCAGCATTAGTCTTTCTTCATATGAACTGTTTCTTGGAATCTGTGGTCTCAATGCTTTGAGGGCTTTTTTTGTTTGTTTTTTTTAAATATGGAATGCTTCACAAATTTGCGTGTCATCCTTGCGCAGGGGCCATGCTAATCTTCTCTGTATTGTTCCAATTTTAGTATATGTGCTGCCGAAGCGAGCACTTTTGAGGTTTTATTATGTGTAAAACAGAGCAGAGCAGTAGAGTTTCTCTTCAACCCTGGATAAAATTCCATCATCAGGTGATTGGCTTTTGGGTAACAATTAGTTATAAAGTCTTAAGTTTGAAAGCACATATTTAAAAGAAAAAAAAAGGGAACAGAAAAAGAATTTCCCTTCCACACATAGTAGTGTCCTTTTTATGCGTGTATACTAGTCCTTGCAGCTTGAACTCAGGATGTGGGCTCTGCCCTTGCTTTTATCCTCTAGTTTGGTGCTCTACCACTTAAGCCACAGTTTAGCTTCCAGCTTTTTGTTGGCTAATTGGAGATAAGTCTCCTACGTAAGCTGGCTTTGAAACTTGATCTTCAGATCTCAGCCTCCTAAATAGCTAGGATTGCTGGGGTAGGCACCAGTGCCCAGCTTTTTTATAACAGTATTCTTTATTTGGGGAAGCACGCTCTTCCTATTGTGGTCTGGCTCACTATAGCGTTCTTAACAATGGTTAAAGAACTGAAGGCATAGCACTGTGGTATCATGCCACCTAGCAAGCTTGGGGCTCTAAATTCCAACCCCTAGTACTACCAAAGTAAACAAACAGTTCTGTAATTTGCAAAGCATCCGTGCCTCATGTCTCTGAACCTAGCTAAGGAGATTGAGATCCAGAGGGAGGATCCTGGTTTGAAGCCAGCCCAGGCAGAAAAGTCTGTGAGCTGATATCTCCAAAATAAATATCAAAAGGCCAGCATAGAGGTGTGGCTTAAGTAGTAGAGCAACAGCTGAACAAGTATGAGGTTCTGAGATCAAGACCCAGTACTGACAAAGAAAAAAACAAGAGGATCAGAAGACAGAAAACAAAAGCACTGAATACATTACTGTATCAGTACCATCTACACATAAACATTGTTTATTTTAGACTTATGACTTATTTTAGACTTATTTTAGACTTATGACTGCAACAGTGTTTCTTAACTGAGGCAATGCTTATGTTTATGTTGTCACGACTTGAGTTGGTACTGCTGACTAAGGATGCTGGTAAAAATCCTATGATGCACAGTGTAGCTCCTCGTTAACAAAGACTAGCTACCACCAGGCACCGGTGGCTCACACCTGTAATCCTAGCTATGTGGGAGACTGAGATCTGAGGATCATGGTTCAAAGCCAGCCCAGGCAGGAAAGTAGTCCGTGAAACTCTTTATCTCCAATAAACCCACCAGAAAACTGGAAATGGCACTGTGGCTCAAGTGTAGGGCACTAGCCTTGAGCTGAAGAGCTGAGGGACAGCACCCAGGCCCAGAGTTCAAGCCCCATGACCGATCCCCCTCCCCCCCCCCCAAAAAAAAGACTAGCTACCTTGCCCCTAAATGCCATTGTATATAGGTTAGGAAACTCTGGACCCCTGGACTTGAGGAATAGACTTTAAGTAGTCCTAAAGTCTAGACCTCAGGGAAAGTACACACCTGGGAAAGTAACTCTAATTATTCATTCTAATAGGAGATGTCAGGTATGCATAGAGGTTACTGTGTATACCTACCAATTGGCCAGTTAGGTACATAGCTAGATCCTCAAAAACAATTGGGAAGAACCAAGCAAATGTATGTCCCTTATCCCTTATCAAGAGAAAGGAAAAGAAGCTTCTCAGAGACAGAATCATCAACAGTAAATGTCTTCAGAGGAGTGTAAAGGTCAAAGAGGGTTTCCCTCACATAGGTGTGTGACTCCTGTTTTGTGTAGCTGTCTTTGGGTAGTAAATATGCTTGGTGATGTATTTAAAAAATTATATGTAGTCATGTTGTATGTTTATACAACATAGACTACTATTCTCATCTATGTAACCTACCAAGTACCTAAAGAATATTAGCATCAACTGTAAGCTTTAGTGCTACATGACTTGAATTGGTAAAATCCAGGAAAAAAAACCTAGGCTGATTGAATGCCAACTTCAACACTATAGTAATCTTTCTAGGCCTTTGCATTAAATTGACAAATTGATCAGTTCATCAGTAGAAGAAGACAACTATTATTCAATGTTACATGCAGACTTTCAAGATTAAATATCATCCATGATCTTGCATGTCCATTCTGGAGAAAATATTTATTATAGCATAGTACACTATGCATGCATCAGATAATTTTTGGACACCTATGTACCCTCCGATGTTCTAATTATTTACCTAAATGCAGGGTTCTTTTGTGTGTGTGTGTGTGTGTGTGTGTGTGTGTGTGTGTGTGTGTGTGTGTGTGTGCTTGAGAGCATAATGATAGAATCTTCTGGTAATACTGAGAGGATTACATCAGATAACCTAAAAACAATATTGGACAGCAAAAGCTAATGAATATTAGCCTCTGCCTTTTTATTCTAGTTTGCGTGGTTGGGGCTTCATTGTTTACATTACAGTCATGTGTTGTATAACCATGATGGTACACTCATGAATAAGGTATATGCTTATATGAACTAAGATGACTATGACATCTCTAAGCGAAAATCCTGTGGAATCATAATTGTCTATGTGGTCTGTCATTGGCTGAAATGTCATTATGTGGCACATGACAGTATTTTAGCCCCTTTCTTTCCAGAGTTCCCACTTACTTTCACTTGTTCTGTGTAGATTTTGGCTGAATCTGAACTAAAAGTTCCAAGTATGTTTGAGCCTCATTTGATTATGATTTCAATATTCTACCAGTGGTTCCAATTGTATTGACATTCCCAAGATAGACTTGTTAGTTGGTGAAGTAACCTGTCTAACCTTAGCTTCATGTGGAGCATTTCAAGATTGCCCCTCTGAACTTCCTGAAGTATGGAAAATTCATATTCTTCAGGAATATGAGGTGATGGTTAACCTAATCAGATTCCATTTGATTCTACCAGTTAAGAATGTGTATCTTGGATTGGATGGGGAGGTGAGGGGAGGATAGGAAGGGATAGGAAGGAGAAACAAAGGAGGAGGCTGCAGTGCTTGATAAGAAATGTACTCATTATCTTGCCCATGTAATTGTAACCCCTCTGTACAGTATTTTCACAATAAAAAAAATAAAATAGAATAAAATTTAAAAATAAAAATAAAAAAATAAAAATTATTATTAAACATGTAAAAAAAAAAAAGAATGTGTATCTTGGATTAGGGGTATAAATAATACTAAACTTAGTTGGCATGGATCAGACACTGCGTTCAATCCCCAGCACTGAAACAAAAAACAAAAACAAAAAGCATCTTCATTCTCTTTTTGATCTGTATGAATACAACATTGTAAAAGTTTACTGAGTAATACCAAAGTGCTGCATTATAAGTAAATGATTATTAGTAATAATACCATTTAAAATAAATGCAAAAGTATTCATGTGAAAACAATGAAATTTCATTAACTGAGATGACCACAACTAGCTAGAGATTAAGAAAATTTGAAATAAATTAGGGATGTATTTTTACCTGAGTTAAATGTAAAAAGGAAGAATTTTCTAGGGAAAAGATTGCTCTCTCTTCTGTCATTACCTATTCTTTATAAAAGTTTCTGGGACCCATTTACTTTATACCAAATCTGTTCCTTAATTCTTAAAAGGACATAGTTTATCACCAAGCTTATCAAGCTCAAGGAATGAAACTCAAATTGTGGAAATTTACCTGCCATTCAGCGGACAGAGAAGATACTCTTTGGATAGAAGAACCTATGAAGTAGCCTTAAAACTACACTAATCATAGAGATGTACCTTCCCAAAACACTTTTGTCAGTATACTACTATGTACACAGTACACCTAAAACTCTTTAGAACAGAAATAGCAGTTATGTCTTAACTAACTTGCCAATGAGAGTTGATTATCAGTAATTACACAGATCTCTAGTGGAAGGGTTCTGAGATCAAGTTCTAAGTTAGCAGAAAAGAATGTGCAATTGACTAATAGTAAATGAAGCAAATAGAGCAACAACAGCATTTGTGTTAAATTTTTACAATCCTAATCCTAACTAAAATCCTTCAGGGTACTAACACTCATTTTTGTGCCCAACCTAGACATCTGTATAGCTCTCAGTAAATGTTTGTTAATATTAACTGAATTAATATTTTAAATTGCTTTTGTCTTTTGTGTACTTTTTTTAACAGAGACAAACAGATGAAGAATGACTGTGATATTATTTGACAGAACATAAACTGAAAACTTGTGACCTCACTGCTTCTTAGCCCTCTCTGTCTAGGGGCCCATCCTTGGCCACCAGCTTTCAGATTGCTTAGGAGGTAAAGCTATCATACACTGTACTAACAAATTTTTTCCCCATTCTTTCCCAAGGTCTGCCGAGTTGCTTATGAAATCATGCAGACTTTGCATCCTGATGCCTCTGCAAACTTCCATTCCTTAGATGACATCTACTATTTTGGGGGCCAAAATGCCCACAATCAAATTGCCATTTACCCTCACCAACCTCGAACTGAAGAGGAAATTCCCATGGAACCTGGAGATATCATTGGTGTGGCTGGAAATCATTGGGATGGCTATTCTAAAGGTGTCAACAGAAAACTGGGAAGAACAGGACTGTATCCCTCCTACAAAGTCCGTGAGAAGATAGAAACAGTCAAATATCCTACATATCCTGAGGCTGAAAAATAAAGTTCAGGCGTATGATATGGACAGCAAAACTCAGTTGGCATCATTTCTGCCAACCCTCAGATGAAGAAGACTACTTGGGTAAATGACAGATACCCTTGGCAACAAGAGCAACTGGGAACTCTCAGCTGATTTTTTGGTGGAATTCCTCTTTACCATGCCCTCATGCCCATGCACAGTACAGTAATGTACTTGCATATAACATGGAAACAGATTATTTTCTACTTTGCCCCTTCTTTAAATATTATGTGCCCATGAAACAAACACTGCCACATTATATAATTTAAGTGACACAGACATTATGCGTAAGACTTCAAACATGGTGCCTATATCTGAGAGACCTGTGTGATTCACTAAGAAGACAAGAATGGCTCCCTCCCATGGGAAAGTTCATTCTTAGCCAGTGGTGGCAGTGTGACTACCGAAATAACTCCAGACAACAGATTCAGAATGAGAATGGATTTTTTTTCCTTTATAAGGTTGTCTAGATTTTTTTAAAGTAATTGCATCAATTCAGTTCTCAGTCTCATCATTAATAAGTGAAGGATACATCAGAAAATAAAATATTCACTTTCCATTAGGAACTTTTGTAAAACGATGCCATGAACAAATTCTTTAGTATTCAATGTTTCTGGACATTCTCTTTGATAACAAAATAAATTTTAAAAAGGAATTTTGTAAAGTTTCTAGATTTTTCTATCACTGAATGATGTGGTAATCAGCTTTATACTAGAAGAGCTATGACAGAAAAACAATTTCCTAGCTTTTCAATTTTACTTTTTTCTCTTTCTGATAGAATAATTAATTAGGTTTTAACTGGTCCATTTTAATATTGAAAACTTATTTTAGTTGGTGTACATTACAGAGTTTCTAAGAACATTGTTTAGGGAAGCTTTCATTCTCTTATTTTAGACATTGTTGGTTTGTTTTAATTGAATGAAATAACCATACTCCTTGCTCCCAAGGAACTGTTACCTCCATTTGTAAAACTAACCATTTCAGGTTTGTTTGGTAATCTTACTGTGTTTGTTCTTTTGTGTGTGTGTGTGTGTGTGTGAATTAGGTCCTGTTGTTTCAGCCAGGAGCCAATCTGTGCCCTTTCCTATTTTGCCCTGCTTTTGAAAGTACCAGGATTCTTTGAGGTTGGAAAGCTGAGTCTTTCTGAAGTGTATATCTTGGACTATATAGAATTTAATGATCATAGCAGAGACATTAGTATGAGATCCATGATAAACCTGGAGATAATTTTCCCAAATACTTCATTTTAGTAATTTTGTGTTATAATCACTTCATAAGACTTTGGTGCTTTCTCTCTGAGCTTTTCTACTCCTAAAAACATTCCAGTTTGTATGTAGTACCAGCCTCCTCCAGATTCCTTGCAAGACCATTTCATAGCATGTGTTCTGCCTCTAGAAAGAAAAGTTTGGTCTTTGTGGGAGCCAGCATCAGCCCTAGTATTATGTCTCAGGAATCCCCAAAAGAAAAGCTTTGGCCTGCACAACTTCACTAAATGAAATCTTCCTACCAAATATCCCCAATTTTCTCCCCATCTTTCAGGATTTCCAAAGAGCAAAAATTAAGTATCTACAGGGTTAGTAAGCAATTTTCCATTTAGTTTCCGATACATGAAAATCATTTGAAACAATCCCCAGGAGAGGTAAATTTTAAAATAAGTTCTTCTCGAACTCTGATCTAACTTGTATTCACTAACTGTGGTTTTCACTTGTGCCTTTGCAGTAGAGCCAAAGGTAAATCAGTCTCATTTCTTTCTGAATAGACCAAGTTCCAGGTGAAAGGACCAAAGAATGTAAATTTGAAGAAAATGGGAATATTTTCCAAATGGAGGAAAAGACCTAATTTTGGATAGTCTTTTCAGTTCTAAAATTTATATTTAACTATTTCTCTTTTGAGGTGGATATACGTTTTGGTTCTTCATGTTACCTAATTTTAGATTCACTCCTAAACATTGTAAATTTTATAGGTTCTGTTACATTCCTCTGATTTTATGTTAGGAGCATTAACTTTGTTGGACTCAATGTATCAACTATGTCTTGGCAACAAGCATTTCAGCTTATCTGGGTTCTGTCCTTTACATAGTTGAGGAGTCAGCCAGAAATTTGGGTTGAATTTACACACAGAATTGGGGTACCATTTCTGAGATTTTCATTTTCTAGCAGTTATAGTTGGTGTGATGTTCTATGATTCTTCAACCAGAATAACTACATTTTTTTATATCAGCTGAAAAGCCATAAAAATGGGTAACTCAATTTTTGTGCCGTTCTCTTTTTTAAAGTTTCAATCTCCCTCCAAAACTTGCCTAATTTTTTTGTTCAGCACCCTACATAGTGTGGTTGGTTTTTTGCTTTGTTTTGTTTTAGTATTGTATTGAAATTTGTGGTTATTATCCATTAGATAATTGGTTCTGTATCATTTACTCCATCTACCATTTAAGAAATGGAACTGCAGAGACTGACGTGAAAATGGGTTAGGTTTAGTTAGTCCAGCGACAGCCTCTGTTAGACTTGGCTTGTAGCCCCAAGCAGGCAACAAGATGAACGAACAGAATTGTCAAATGGACAGATGTGAAGGACTAAGAAATACTGGAGTGCATCTTCCTGAGAAGCTTAGGGCTATGTTTTGTTTTGCAAATCATGTATGTGATGATGATCCCTTTTATACACACTACCATTTAGGAGAAGCTGATATGTTCTCACCACTGTAGTGCTTATATATCTTCATTGGAATTAGATTATCAGGATTTAGATATTTTCCTTGTTAGATGACCCATTCCTGAAAAAAAGACTTGTCTGGAATCACATGATTAGTCCCACAGTGAGCCCATTCATTATTAGTCTCATTGAATGTGGAATACAGAATCCTACATATTAAAGACAAGGAAAAGGGCTTGTCAGGTCCCTCCTGTTCCTTCTGTTCTGGTCTACTGCAGTGCTACCTGGATACTGAAGGAGTATACAAAAGCTAACCCTATCCAGGGTTTTGCTGTGTCCCAAATGAATAAGAAGAAAGTTGCTTTTTTTTCTGAGTTTTACTTTTTTCAATTTTACAGAGCCAAGCCTACCTACTAGATTCCCTCCAAGTAAAGTTGAGAAATGGTGTTAACTCCTGAGGCAACTGAAGTTCAAGAAGAAAAAAAAAAGCACATTACAAAGCCATCTCCTGGAGTGTAGTTCCCAACCTCTGTCAAGACTTAGAAGGCGTGCAAAATTATTGGTAAAGGACTAGCCTGTATACCTATATTGATCATCATGTATGATCTACAAATGATGTTTTAAATTTCCAGGGGCTCCACCCCTGTTCTACAGTCATTACTGTCATTATTTAGCTCTGAGAGAATACAATCATTATATTCAGGGAGCAGGAAAATACTGGGGTCCAAAAGGTGCCTCTTGAAGCTTCTGTGTCATTGAGAGTAAGACTTCTTAGTGCAAAAGAAATGCGTAAGTTCTGCTTGACCATAGCCAGCTGTGAATTTCATTTGTGCTCCCAGGAGCCTGCAGTAGGATTAATAGACCTGTGCAAAATAGGTACGTGGTTTGAGGATTGATGAATTTCAGAATTTGGCTGTAATAACCTAAGTTATTCCAGATTCAGATTCTAGGGAAATTTTAAAGTGCAGTGTCCCAAGGGGACACAGGAGAATTTATCTCCATATTTACCGGTTTCTAGCAGTAGTCTCCCTTGTGGAAACATGGAGGAGCTGTTTTGGGACTCCGGGCAGGGGAGAGGCAGGCTTTGGAAGTTTGGCTCAACCGTCATTGATATAAATAGATATACATGTTTGAGTACTTGCCCTTTGTGATTTTTGCTCTTTATGTGAATCAGAATCTTTTGACTCTTTAGTATCTGCTGGCTTATTCAGCCTTGCCCCTTCCTCCAGTCCAGTTTCTGTTCTTTTTATCCTTAAGATTATCTTAATTTTGTATTCCTACCACCTTTACAGAAAAGGATCTCATATAAGTGATTGCATTGTTCTATTCGTTATGATAGTACTATTCCTAATGACTTGTGTAGACCATAGTTTTGTTATTGGGGAAATAAATATCCCCTCAGACAGTTTTAGGTAAGATGCTTTGTGGACCTGTCATAATGAACTATGACATGAATACTATGTATTCATATCCATTATGTATTCATTTCCTTTTAAATGTTTCTAAGGTTTTAAAATAAATGAATGTCACTATACATTCATGGGGAGCATGGTTAGGACATCTTTTATGTAAAACTATCTAGTCAGAGCCTGCATTAAAAAAAAACAAAAAACAAAAAACAAGCAATGCATTGAGGGCTATGGCTACTTTATATTTTTGGAAGGTAGCCAGGAAGATTTTAGAGCGCCTACTGACCTCCTCTGTAACTACTGTCAATCAGCAGTGTTCTCTATAACTTCTCCTCCCACATCACTGTCCTATGGAGGCTATTGTTCCTGTCTACCTATGTGGGTAGAGAGAAGGCCATTGTCAAAAGAAAAGAAGCATGTTGGCTCATAATCCAGCTGGGTTATGAGAGCATCTGTGGAGGCTGGGAATGTAGTACTTTGTATCCAGAGTACAAATACTTTAGACAGGGTGAAAGTCAAAAGCTTGAGAAATGATAGAGCTGAAAGTTCGTGGCTAATACTCCATAATGGATTTACTGCCCCCTAAGAATTTATGGCCCAGCAAAGGAAATGAAGAATAGTGGTTACAGAGACAGAAGATGTAACTTGGTTTTTCCTATCATCATGGTGCCTACAAGTAAGTACGTAATGTCCCTGAATCTCTGATTCTTTGCAGACAAATAAACAGTACTCACTGAGGATTATTAACTAGGATTCAGAACACCAAGCCTCTGATTTTAAATGTACCATTAAATGTGGATAAATCAAACAGTTTTTCAGAGACTCATTTTCTTCATCTGTAGAATGAATTGGTTGGGGATTGGGTCATCTGGCTAGGTTTCACATGTCTCGAAAGGGTAGTTACTATTCCACTCAGCTAATTATTACCCTAAACACATAATATGGCCAGATACGTCTTTTTCCAGACAAGCAAACGATGTTTCTATGCCCAATCTTCAGATTTTTAAACTTGAGCAGATAATTCAAGAAAATGTATGGACTAGTAAAAGAGCCAAATAATATTTAGATCCATGGCTCATCAGTTTATGACTTCTGAACTAGAATGAGGAGGCTTTTTTTTGTACCATGCTTTCAAGTTCAGCAGCTGCACATGTCAGTTCTTTGGAAATATCTACTTGGCTAGCTGTCATCCTGAAATCAGAAGCAACTTAGTGTGCTGAAGGACAGCTGTGCCATGACAACTCATACATTGGGATTTTCAGACTTGGCCTTAGTATAGATGACTTCCAAGTTCTCTCCCAATGGTAAATTTCTAAAAAGATAAAAGTCTGATATCCTAAGGAGGTCCAAAATGGAGCCAACTCAAAGCAATCTAAAGAGGCTGAGCCGTGATAAGTAGTAAAAAGAATGAAGATGATAAGACCAAGTGACTGGGTCTGTTTCTAGATCTCCATTACAACAGCAATTTCTTACCTAATTAGTGGACTGCCTAAACACCTGTTTTTTGTTGTTGTTGTTGTTTTCGTTTTGTAAATATTCTGTAAATTTTTTCACATACTTCTGTTTCCTGGTAAAACTTCTTACACAGAATCACC